TGTGTGTGTGTGTGTGTGTGTGTGTGTGTGTGTGTGTGTGTGTGTGTACATATATTATATATAAAAACGAGTAAGATATAAAAGAGGAGAGTTTATATATACTTGGAGAAAATATAGAAATATTACTTTAATTCTTGATAAGAATGAAGATTGAAGATGTTCCATTACAAGAGAAAATGAATGTTTAGGTATTTGTTAGAGATAAACAATTTTTTAAATATATATTAACAATCAACGTTGTAATAAATACATTTAGCGACTACGATAGTTACTCTGTGTTTTAAGTCATTGAATTAAATCAAAATCTCGGACTAGATGTGAATTCCTTTTTCGAGCTCCAATTCGCGTAGCTGATGGCGTACGATTGGCGTGCGATTGCATATCAAAACACTGTGAAGATAAATATGAGGAGGGTTGAGAATGGAATGCTGTTGACTTGCTCGGGCGTTTGATCCGCTGGATTTCGTTGGAACGAGAGACACGGGCGAGTGAAACACGATACTTAGTGTAGGCCGACATATCAGTGTTGAATAACGTCCTTGAATTTTCTAAGCGTCGAGCGCTGAATGCCGGACGTATGAGATCGTTTGTCCGAAATTTCGTTCCTGGAAGGTTTGCTTGATCGATACACGTTCGCGAATTGCTGTGTACACAACATCGGCGGGAGGAGGATGCTCGTCGAATTGGGCTTCGAGAGTCGCGCGATTAATCGATGTCTATCTCGCGACAGGGAGGTTTCTGTCGGTCGATGAATAATGAGGAACAATCATAATAATTGCGACAGTGGGATAATCGCGGCTCTTCGTATATGTTCCAATAATTTAATGGATAATCGTTGAAAACTTGCTAAGAATGACGATTGCGCAATTTAATATGTATAGTTTTAAAATATTAATAACGCTAAATCATTATATGCAACGTTATTATATAAGTATTACACGCCGATGTTCTATTAGCGATTTCTGACTTTCATCACCAGTTTCGTTATTGGAACATATCTTACGATCTTTCCTTGAAATTGACGATATCTTTCCTTGCTATAATTATTTTCAATAAAAATATAGATTGAAGATTTTGAGATATTAAAAAAATGTTCCAATTAACAACAAGTCTGGAAAAAATGTTCGAAGATATTTATTACAATTTCTCAAATTTAATTAATTAAACACATTTTGTCTCTCTCAATTAATAAGAAATTAATTTATCATTGTTTACTTGCTTTTTTTTAGGATATTATATTTTATATTATTACATTTTATACGATATATTGTCGAGTTCTCTCACAACTGATTCATTTCTTCATTGTTAGATATCTTTTTTATTTATTATCGAGCTTCTTTTGTGTCTCAGTATTGTCATAAGCCAAGGGAAATTCGCATAATGTAAATAATATCTGCAATCCGAAGACAAAATCGTTTTCTACAAAGAGAGAAATCTTCCTGTCGAGGGACATACGTGTCATATGGGCATATCGAGACGTCTGTCCTCCATCGTGGATGCTTCATCGATCCCTCAATCGCGAGCATTTGCGCGTTCACGCAAATAAACCCAGTCCAGATTACGCAAGTCCGTATTCTCGGTCAACGTCGTGGTATCAAGCGTATCCTGTGGACGGTATTGACCAATTGATTAACAGGATTCGGCATGCGAACGCGTAGAGAGAAACGCGTGAATATCGATCCTCTTAATTCAGAGAAATCCATATGCGCGCGTGTGTGTGTGTGTGTTTGTGTGTGTGTGTGTGTGTGTATTTTGCGCATATACGGCGTGTATTATCCATGCGTGGTTCACGGTGGTTTCGCGGTCGGCATTTCCCGCGTAATTAACACCTGGTAATGATCTGTGCAAATCTGCGCTACTGCTTGTGTAATTACAACACGCATACGTACGTGTAGACGACGCATGTAATCACGGCGAAATAAATATTTTGAAACTTAAAGAAGAGGAGAGGAGACTACGTGTACGTCGTCTCTCCGGATCTGTGCGCCTTTCATTCCCGGTTTTCGTCACCTTCAACATTGTCTCCTGGGCTCTTATTCTTGAAAAGTATCGTATACGTAAAACTAGAGAAATACTATAGTATATCAAATACGATAAAGAAAGGCCAAGATCGATGTCAAAGTTAGATGTTTCAAATAATACATTATATATTCTTTTATTAAATCAATTTTGTTCCAGATATGATTGCGAGCCGATAACTTTTGTTTCAACACAATCTCATTCTGAAACACTAATACCCCCCCCCTCCCCCTAAATTAGATTAGAAAGAAAGAAAGAAACTTATTGCGAAAAATTATTACCTCAGCCGGGATGGCTTCGAACCTTCGACCTCTTCATTATAGTATATGTTACGTTCACCGTAATATAAAAATATATATATAATAAAATATATAATATTTCCCTAATTCTTCGTATGCGATACTTTTCAAGAACAAAAACCCTGATTTCCTTGACTCCCTTGCCGAACAATATTTTTGCGAGTAACAGAATGTTCGAGCGATCCACCGCAGTGTGCCGATTTGTTTTACAGCAATGCAATAAAAGCGGAGGAACGACTGCTTCGTTCGGCAATTATTTTTCCTTTATTACTTCACAAGAGAGATTTAGGGAAGAAGATTTTATTACACCGGGTAAGGATTCGTCCCTCTCACGAGTCTAATATATCTGTCTGCTTCTCTCAGAGGGGTGTCCCAGACGTTCTCGCTTCTCTTTATGTTTTTTCGGTAGCGCACCGAATTTTCCGACGACGAAAACGAAGGAGGGACTGAGGGGGAGGAAAAGTTGAGATATACACTGCGCGATATACAATGCACCGTGTAGGAGAATTAATGCTTATACTCGGGTACTTCATCCGAGCTATCGATTTTCCAAAATGCAAAATATGGTACGGATGACTCGTTTAGTGCCTTTCGAGCGAGTGGAAGAGCGGCTCGTCCGTGTCATTTCTCTCCCCGTTCCCTCTCCTAAACGGATCTGACATTTAATTATTGGAAATGATCGGCCGACGGTCCGCGACGCGACCGAGTGCATTCGTTTTCAATCCGCCCTTTAGCTGTAATGTGTAATGCGTTCGCGCGATTTGACGACGCGCGACAAATGCTTCTCGAGTGCGTTTTATTCCGCAAAGCATGCT